TGTGAGTATGAGTGTGTGTGTGTGTATGAGTGTGTGTGTGTATGAGTGTGTGTGCATATGTGTGTATGAGTTTGTGTATGTGTGTGTGTGTGTGTGTGTGTGTTTGTGTGTGTGTGTGTGTGTGTGTTTGTGTGTGTGTGTGTATGAATTTGTATGTGTGTGTGTGTGTGTGTGTGTGTGTGTGTGTGTGTGTGTGTGTGTGTGTGTGTGTGTGTGTGTGTGTGTGTGTGTGTGTGTGTGTGTGAGAGAGAGAGACTCAGCAATCAACATTTGCACCAATAACTCACTACAGTTGTGACCGGGTGTGGAAGTGTGAATTGCTCATTACTCTAACATTTGTTCATGATTGCAGCCATGTATAAACGTAAGTAACCATTCTTACAGTATTCATTACCTTTGTAACTTGTGAGTTCATTACCTTTGTAACTTGTGAGTTCATTACCTTGTACCTAGTTCAGCCATCAAAACTTTGGAGCCCGGTCCCTGGACCCATTGTGTACCTCTGTAATCTGTAAATACCTTTGTAACTTGTCATGATTGTGACTAGACCTACCTGGAGTTCATTACCTTTGTAAATTGTGAGTTCATTACCTTTGTAAATTGTAAATTCATTACCTCTGTAACTTGCTCAGCTATCAAAACTTTGAGGCCCAGTCCCTGGACCCATTATGTACCTCTGTAATCTTTTGACTACCACCCACAGGATGGGTATGGGGTGCATAATAAACATATTAAACTAACTGATGCAACACTTAGCCTTGAGGTCATGTTGGGAAAATAAATTAATTAGAACATCTACGTCGGTAGACTTGCAATAAACCCTGTGTTTGAGAGTGCCCTTCCAAGATGAGAAGATGCCAAGAAAGATTAAGGAAAATCATCTTCTTTCTCCACCAAGAAAAACTGTATTAGAAGGTTCCATGGGGGTGAGAGCGTCCCTGAATTGTGGAAGGTCAAAACACCCAGGGATGATGAATAAAATGTCATTCACAAATTTTGAGTTATGTGACGATGTAAGGAATAATGATGACGTATGGTTCAATACACGCCCAGGGTTGTACTGTACTTGATAAAGTCGTCTTCATCAGCCTATGCTATCAGTTACCAATAACTGACTAGTTGATATTGAAAGGTTAAGTTCTGTATTAATTAGGTCTTAATCCTTATGCATGGAAAAATCCAAACTTACATATATACATGTAAAATAGGAAAAATGTAGAGTATTACATCTTATCAAAGGAACAAAAAATTAATATGAACTTTCATTACCTGGTTTAAATATTTGTTGTGCATCCCGAAGTTTGCTGACAAACCCAACTGGTTCAATCTTCAGCATATCTACAGCACCATTCAATCTGGCAACCATTAAACGGTTTCCTGACATACCCCATGAAGTTACTCCTGCTTTGATACCTTCATCATACATACACTGAAAAAAATGTATTTATTTAAACTTTAAAAAATAATTAGAATTATTTATATAATTACTTATAACGAGTAAATGAAGAGCAAAAATTTGTAAAAAAAAATTTGTTACTATCAAGAAACTAGGGACGTAATAGAGGAAGATTGTTTTTTTATACACATAACTTATCCATGGAGGTAAAGATGGGAATGTATGAGAGTTAAGTGGTACCAACACTCTTATAAGGTGTGAAGCTTGGGGTTTTTAAATGCTGCAGCGAGGAGGAGGCTGGAGGCAGTGAAGATGTCGTGTCTAAAGGAAATGTGTGGTGTAATTTTTTTTTTATAACACATCAGCCATTTTAAGGTAGTAGGTTGGTAAACAGCAACCGCCCGGGAGGGACTACCGTCCTGCCAAGTGATTTTAAAATGAAAGCAATGTAATTGTTTTACATGATGGTAGGGTTGCTGGGGTCCCTTTTTCTGTCTCATACACATGCAAGATTTCACGTACATCTTGCTACTTCTACTTACACTTAGGTCACACTACACATACATATACAAGCATATATATACACACCCCTCTGGTTTTCTGCTATTTTCTTTCTAGTTCTTGTTTATTTCCTCTTATCTCCATGGGAAGTGGAACAGAATTCTTCCTCCGTAAGCCATGTGTGTTGTAAGAGGCGACTAAAATGTCGGGGGCAAGGGGCTAGTAACTCCTTCGCTTGTATAAATTACTAAGTTTAAAAAGAGAAAGTTTCGTTTCTCTTTTTGGGCCACCCTGGCTTGGTGGGATATGGCTGGTTTGTTGAAAAAAAAAAAAAAAAACAGCCATTTCCCACTAAAGCAGGGTGGCTTGAAAAAGAAAAACTTTCATCATCATTCATTCCATCACTGTCTTGCCAGAGGCATTAACACCCCCTTCAGAGTGCAGACACTGTACCTCCCATCTCCAGGACTCAAGTCCGACCTGCTGGTTTCCCTGAATCTCTTCATAAATGTTACCTTGCTTACACTTCAACAGCAAGACAAGTTCTAAAAACCATTTGTCTCCATTCACTCCTGTCTAACACACTTACACTTGCTGGAAGTCCAAGCTCCTTGCACACAAAACCTTTGCCCCCTCCCTCCAACCTTCCGTAGGCTGATCCCTACCCCGCCTTCCCTCCACTACAGGTTCGTATACACTTGAAGTCACTGTATTTTGTTCTATCCTCTCTACATGTCCAAACCATCTCAACAACCCCTTCTCAGCCCTCTGGATAATAGTTTTGGTAATCCCACACCTCCTAATCTCCAAACTACAGATTCTCTGCATTATATTCACACCACATATTGCCCTCAGACATGACATCTCCACTGCCTCCAGCCTTCTCCTTGTTGCAACATTCACAACCCATGTCTCACACCCATACAAGAGCATTGGGATAACTATACTCTCATACATTCCCCTCTTTGCTTTCATGAATAAAATTCTTAGTCTCCACAGACTCCTCAGTGCACCACTCACCTTTTTTCCCCTTGTCAATTCTATGATTCACCTCATCCTTCATAGACCCATCTGCTGACACATCTACTCCCAGATATCTGAATACATTCACCTCCTCCATACTCTCTCCCTCCAATCTGATATCCAATCTTCCGTTACCTAATTTTTTTGTTATCCTCATCACCTTACTCTTTCCTATATTTACTTCCAACTTCCTTCTTTTACATACCCTACCAAACTCATCAACTAACCTCTGCAACTTCTCTTCAGAATCTCCCAAAAGCAAAGTGTCATCAGCAAAGAGCAACTGTGACAACCCCCACTTTGTGTTAGATTCTTTATCTTTTAACCACACACCTCTTCCCAACACCCAAGCATTCACTTTCTTACTACTCCATCTATAAATATATTGAACAACCATGGTGACATCACACATCCCTGTCTAAAGCCTACTTTTACTGGGAAATAATCTCCCTCTCGCCTACATACTCTAACCTGAGCCTCACTATCCTCTTTAAAAACTTTCACTGCTTTCAATAACCTACCTCCTATTCCATACATTTGCAACATCTGCCACATTACCCCCATATCCACCTATTCAATGCCTTTTCCAAATCCATAAATGCCACAAAAACCTCTTTACCCTTATGTAAATACTGTTCACCTATGTTTTTTTACAGCAAACACTTGGTCTACACACCCCTTATCTTTCCTAAAGCCTCCTTGTTCATCTGCTATCCTACTCTCCATCTTACTCATAATTCTATCAATGACAACTCTATCATACACTTACCAGGTGTACTCAACAGACTTATTCCCTCATAATTTTTACACTCTTTCGTCCCCTTTGCCTTTATACAAAGGAACTATGCATGCTCTCTGCCAGCCCCTAAGTACCTTACCCTCTTCCAAAACATTTTTTAAAATAAAAACACTAACCACTCCAAAAACTATATCCCCATCTGCTTTTCCCTGGTGTAGCTGCTTTACTCGGTGTAAATATTATGCAGAAAATCCGTAGTGGGGAAAATTTTAGGAGAAGGTGTGGAGTTACTAAGTCTTAGTCATAGGGCTGAAGAGGGGTTGTTGAGGTGGTTTGGTCATTTAGAAAGAATGGAACAAAGTAGAATGACTTGGAATTGCATATATCTGTAGGGGAAGGAAGGCAGAATAGGGGTTGTCTTTAAAAAGGTTGGAGGGAGGGAGTAAAGCAGGTTTTGTGGGGAAGGGGCTCAGACTTCCAGCAAGCATGCGTGAGTGTGTTAAATAGGAATGAATGGAGATGAATGGCTTTTGGGACCTGATGAGCTGTTGAAGTGTGAGCAGGGTAATATTTTGTGAAGGGATTCAGGGAAATCGGTTAGCTGGACTTGAGTCCTGGAAATAGGAAGTAACAATGCCTGCACTTTGAAGGAGGGGTTTGGGATATTGGCAGCTGGGAGGGACATCTAAACTGTTGTATTTGAGTGCCTCTGCAAAGACAATGATTATGTATGAGTGATGGTTAAAGTGTTGAAAGATGAACATTTTTTTATTCTTTCTTTTTGGGCCACCCCACCACGGTGGGAAATGGCCAACATGTTACAAAAAAAAAAAAACACACACACACACTGGAGATGGGAAGTACAGTTCCAGCACTTGAAGGAGGGATGTTAATTTGCAGTTTTATAACTGTAGTGTAAACATGCCTCTGGCAAGACAGTGATGGAATGAATAATAATGAAAGTTTTCTATTTCGGGCCCCCCTGCCTTAGTGGGAAAAAAGCTGATGTGTTAATAAAAAAAAATGCACTTCAATGTGGAGAAAAAAAAAGGCCTGACTAAAAGCAAAGCTCAGGGGACATAACTGAACCACATTACAGTATTGTAAAGGATGTCAAAAAAGTACATTTAAATAAGTACTTACCTTGAGTACATTATTGTACAAATCCCATACTTCTATCCTGCCGGGTCCACAGCCAACTAATGACTTAGCGCATCCTGAACTCAAGGCACCATATTGGAGGTAATTCCTCCTCTACTGTTTTCTCTCCTCCATTTCCAATGATCCTTTAAGAGCACCACATTGTAACCCAAGAGAGCACCTGCTGGAATGCTCCCTGTACTAAGATTCTACAGTGTTTGTTAGACTTATAACTGATGAGGTCTCTGTATAGGACGGTGATCGTATCATCATATTTTTGGTTACACTTCCGGAGGAAGAATATTCGTTGCAATCAGAGGTTTTTCTTACTCTACTCTGTCTATATTCTTCATCATCTTGAAGCATTTTTTTGTGTTCTTCGTAATACTTATCAAAACGACTGAAGTAACCACTGTTGTTGGACTCTGCAGTTCTGGTACAAAAGTGAAGATCAATGCCAGGACTAAGATCTGGAAAGGTATGAAAGTGGTTTCCAGAAGTGTCTTTGAGCATGCATGTAGAGTCCAAGTGATCCACAGCCTCAGAATCACTATCATCCTTCTCATCTTCATCCAGCCATACACCACTGTAACCATAAAAGTATGCACTTTAAGAATAATTATAATAAATATAAATCAGGGAAAAGAATAACCCAAAATTTTGTTACGAAGAATATGTTTTTTTTTACAACTTCAAGCAAAGGGTCTAATTACAAGATGCACTTCTGAATTTTATGAACTAATATTAAAGTGAATGTGAGTAGACTATGATGTTACACAGTAGTGTCAAGAATGTTACTATACCATGGTAATGTTACACAGTGGTGTCAAGAGTTACTACACTATGTTGATGTTACACAGTGGTGACAAGACTGTTACTACACCATGGTAATGTTACACAGTGGTGTCAAGACAGTTCCTACACCATGGTAATGTTATACAGTGGTGTCAAGACAGTTCCTACACCATGGTGATGTTACACAGTGGTGTCAAGACTGTTACTACACCATGGTAATTTTATACAGAGGTGACAAAACTGTTACTACACAATGGTAATGTTACACAGTGGTGTCAAGACTTACTACACCATGTTGATGTTACACAGTGGTGACAAGACTGTTACTACACCATGGTAATGTTATACAGTGGTGTCAAGACAGTTCCTACACCATGGTAATGTTATACAGTGGTGACAAGAATGTTACTACACCATGGTGATGTTACACAGTGGTGTCAAGACAGTTCCTACACCATGGTAATGTTACACAGTGGTGACAAGACAGTTCCTACACCATGGTAATGTTACACAGTGGTGACAAGACTGTTACTACACCATGGTAATGTTACACAGTGGTGACAGGACTGTTACTACACCATTGTAATGTTACAGTGATGTCAAGAGTGTTACTACACCATGGTGATGTTACACAGTGGTGTCAAGACTGTTACTACACCATGGTAATGTTACATAGTGGTGTCAAGACTGTTACTACACTATGGTAATGTTACACAGTGGTGTCAAGACAGTTCCTACACCATGGTGATGTTACACAGTGGTGTCAAGACTGTTACTACACCATGGTAATGTTACACAGTGGTGTCAAGACTGTTACTACACCATGGTAATGTTACACAGTGGTGACAAGACTGTTACTACACCATGGTAATGTTACATAGTGGTGACAAGACTGTTACTACACCATGGTAATGTTACACAGTGGTGACAAGACTGTTACTACACCATGGTAATGTTACACAGTGGTGACACAGTAAGGAACCAAGAGTGTCAGTGTGTATGTTAATGGTGTCAGCATTTTGATGTTATATTCATGTTTTATGAGAACTTAGTTGTCTGTGTTCACTAATATGAGTAACTTTTAAAAACGACAGTGCCTGCCTAAATCATGACTCAATGAAAACAAATGGTAATTCAATATAGAAATGCTAATCATAACCCAAAAGTAATGGGCTAAAAATTTTTACTAAACTGATATATGGTAATTTAAAAAAAAATAAAAATTTAGGTCAGAGGGTATGCTGAATTGTGATGGTAAGAAAATATTGAATGAGCGATGATGACTGTGTTTCCTTGTTTGGGATCACTATCTTGGTAGAAAATAACTGATGTATTAAAAAGAAAAAAAATATATTAAAATTGTATGTGGCAAAATTAAGAGGTTACCTAGCATTTTTCCTGAAGAAGTTACAGTCTCCTGCTTGTGATCGTGGGGAACCAGACTCATAGTCTGAGTGGAAGTCATCTGCCAAGTCCGGTGAACCCATACGAAACTCAGGTTTCTTCCCGCTGTTATCAAGTCAAGGAAAAATATTTCAGTTTGGTAAAGGTATATTACAATATTTTACATGAAAGTAAGATAAAGATACTTTAATCTGTATTAGGAATACATGATTGCTCAAAAAAAAAAACACACACACACAAAGTAAATATATACAGTACAGAATTGTACTCCAACATAATAATTACTCATTATGGTGAATCTTATTGGAGACAAGTAATCCTTATGACCTGATGTGTTGTTGGAGTGTGACCTGATGTGCTGTTGGAGTGTGACCTGAAGTGCTGTTGGAGTGTGACCTGATGTGCTGTTGGAGTGTGACCTGATGTGCTGTTCAAGCATGGGCATCATAAAGGGATTTATGGAAACCAGTTAGCTGGACTTGTGTCCTGGAGGTGGGAGATAGAGTGCCTGTACTATGATGGAGGGGTGGAGGTGGGAGGTACAGTGCCTGCACTATGATGGAGGGGTGGAGGTGAGAGGTACAGTGCCTGCACTATGATGGAGGGGTGGAGGTGAGAGGTACAGTGCCTGTACTATGATGGAGGGGCGGAGGTGAGAGGTACAGTGCCTGTACTATGATGGAGGGGTGGAGGTGGGAGGTACAGTGCCTGTACTATGATGGAGGGGCAGAGGTGAGAGGTACAGTGCCTGTACTAGATGGAGGGGTGGAGGTGAGAGGTAAGTGCCTGTACTATGTGGAGGG